TTTTGCTTCTATTGATGTAAAAGATAAAGCAGAATTATATATTCTAATATTTTGTCTAAATGTACATGAGCGTGGATCAGTTTCAGTAAGAAGTATATTAAGAGGTAATGGTAATTCTTGAAGAAAAGGAAGTATTACTTTGCCTTTTGCATAGCAAATACTAAATACTAATAATTTTACTGATTTATTAATTCTTTCATCTAACCACATCATAGCTCCACACTCATTACATTTATAAGTCATATTACCTAATGTATGATGATGTAATCCAAGAGAAATCCATAGATAAATACGTGCTTTTGGAATTGGTAATAATTCAATAATTTCATCAGTAACTTCTTTTGTTCTTTTTGATGATGCTGTATTTTCTTTTTCAATTCTCCTTTTTCGCTCACGATAAGTTCATTGACGATCAGCCTGAAGTATTTTTTGACATTCTCTAAGTATTTCACTATTCATGTTATTTATATTTTAAAGTTTAAATTAATATAAATTGTAATTTTTTTTGATTTATTTAAATAAATTTAATATATATATATATAATATTAAAAATTTGATTTTTTTAAATTCCACTTTATTTATATTTAAATTTAATAATTAAATAAAAAAAATTTTAAAATTGAACTTTATTAATATAACTAATAAACTTAATTTTTTTGTTTTACATATTTAGAATTTAAAATGATTTTTTTTTCTTTATAATCCTAAAAAAAAATGCATAAATGGTCTTTTTTTCTTTATAATCCTTAAAAAGATACATAAATTAAAGTAAGTACTGCATTTATAGAAATCAAACAATTTTTGTTAAAATAAAAATTGGCCTCAGAACACTTAGGTTACCAAGATTTTTAACCTTAAGAATCAAAAATGCAATAAGTGGGTTGAGCTCTTCCGGCAGGGTCTACTTCATTAGAGTATCCCTTAGGTCATCAGCCATTAGCATCCAACTGCCTATGACCCAATAATACATCACCACTACCTTCTGATACTACAAGATCCCAAGTATTACATAGGAGTAGAGGTGTGCTCCGGTGAAATCCATTCAATCCGTCATTGATCCGATCAAAAAATGGATCATCCGAATTAAGAATAAATGGATTGCAGATAATCCGGATGGATCCGTTAGATAACATCAGATTGATCGGATATTACACAGATGACCAGATTGACCGGATTGATCAGATAATCTGGTCAAATTCAAACCTTTTTTTTTTTTTTAACATAAATGTTTTTTTTTTAAAAAAAAAAAA